TTTGATCGAGTCCTTTAGAAGATTCCGTTGTGGGAGTCTTGAAGTTTTTTTTACATCTGTGAGTAGACCGAAATCTGGTGAGTCTTATGGTAGTTCTTTTATAAAATTGGGATCAAAACTGACTGAGTCATGAAGAATAAATTGAACAAGAGTCATATATATACACCTGCGTATGCAAGAAGGGGTATCTCTTATTTGCTAGTTCTCTGATATAAGAAAGAAAGGAAAAAAAAAGGATAATGAGTTTATCCTTGCTACAAACTTACTTTCTCTATTTTGATTTTGCTTAGCAAGCGTCAGAAACTTATCGGTAAGAAGCAATAACTACGATAACGACAATCGGTAAGAAGCGATACTCGGTTAACCGATAATCGGTAAGATACGATAAAACGATAACGATAAACCGATAAATTATCATTACCGTTGCATGCCTAAGCATACTATCCTTGTTGCAAAAACGTATGGCGCATAACTCCTACGCTATGCGGTAGCTGTCCAAATTGTAGTTATGTATATTCGTGTAAATACCCTGGAGATCCTGGAGAAATGCGTACTATGTCTGTAAGAATCTTATAGGAAAAGAAATTACTGGAATCCGATGAAGTTTGTATAAGTTTCTTATAATAACTTATAGACACAGTAAGTATTTCTTGCGATTGACGTTTAATAATTTTTTCATAAGATTTCCGCAATTTCGGTCGGCCATGATAATTAAAAAGTGAAAGAAGCTCGATCCTCATCAGACACAAATTTGGGTAGCTGTCTTTCCTCGCTCTGATTTTCGCGCTAGCATGCGGCTTTAAATCGCCCTTCGAAGTTTATTACAGTAGTATTTTTATAATAATACAACTCTTCATATTTGGAGTTCTAACAGCTCCGACGGATTGCGTATGCTAATGATGCGTGCTTTTCCGACTTCGATTCCCGACAGGACCCAAATTTTATTTTTCGATACAAGAGACTTCGAGGTAAAAGGCACTTTAGAGACAAGAGGAAAACAGCATTTTGATAAAATTATCAGAAGATTTTGGTAAGATTCATATAAGATTCTTTTGCAAATTCTTACCGAAATCTTTTTATCAAAATCTTGTAGCAATCTTAGACGAATCTTATAAAATTCTTATCACTTTTGGGCATTAATCTTATATAAGATTCAATCTCTAGGGTATGGGCGTACGTATTTTTCCAGGCAAAAGATCAACAATAATTCTTTTCTTAGTGCTAGAGTTGATGGACCCATATGTTGTCTACGGATCCACGAGAGTTGCTTCCCAGACAATTGCACCTGTAGCACTTGCTCCACCGACAGTTGCTCCCTTGCGACAGTTACTCCCCCGGCAGTTGTTCCCGCGACACTTGCTCCCCAACAACATTTAGGGGGACTTCAGTCCTATCTTACCTGTTCGGTATCACCTAGTATTTCTTTCTTCTTCTGTACGAGCCTGTGTTATTTCTAATGGTGTATTTTCCAAGGTCAAGTAAGTATCGAGAAATATTCCCCTCTTCATTCTACATCCAGCCTTTGATTAGTCGATAAAATTCAGGCATGGGCCGGTTTCATCAGATAATCGCCCCGTACTTTGTATAAAATAGAAAGTCGCAGTATATCGATACTTTTACACAGGAGAAGTGGCGACAAGGTTATTTTTCATGTCATACTTTTTTGGCGAAAAAATCACACGGTTGTAACTAGCATCGAATTCTGAACAAAACAGCCGATTCAGTTTTTACAAAAAACTTCTGTCCCTAGTCTGCTGCCTACCAAATCACTTTTTTTAACTGATGGTATTTTCGACCATCGTTTTCGTCGTCAGCCGACTCACTAACGTCCATTTTCGCGAGAGATTGAGCTGCACGAGATCTGACATTGTTATGTTCATCGCCAAGTGCTGCCAGCAATCCATTGATCACATTAGGCGCGACTGCACGGCCACCTAACTTCACGAGAGCTTTAGCTGCATTCGCTCTAACAAAGTACTGCTTATCGCGAAGTGCAGCCAACAATCTATTTATCACATCACGCGTGACTGCATTTGTACCCATTATTACGAGAGCTTCAGCTACATTTTGTCTAAGTAACTGATCCTTCTCGCGAAGTGCAGCCAACAATCCTTTGACCACATCAGGTGTGACTGCACTTTTATCCATTCCGCCGAGAGCAGCAGCTGCATGATATCTGACATAGTCGTCGTTATCGTGAAGTTTAGCCAACAAGCCTTTGACAAGATCAGGCGTGACTGCACGGCCAGCTAACGCCACGAGAACTCGAGCTGCACGATATCTCACCTTAATATGTTAATCGCCAACTGCAGCCAGTAATCGATTGATCACAGCAGGCGCGACTGCAACGCAACCTAACTCCACGAGAGCTTGAGCTGCATTCTCTTTAACAAAGTGCGAGTTACCGTTAAGTGTAACCAACAATCCATTGATCACATCTGGCGCGACTGCACCGCCACCTAACTTCGCGAGAGCTTGAGCTGCATTTTGACTAACTAAGTGGTCTTTATCGCCAAGTGCAGCCAACAATCCTTTGACCACACCAGGCGTGACTGCACGGCCCCCTAACTTCGCGAGAGCTCCAACTGCACAACATCTGACATCATTATTTTCATCGCGAAGTGCAACCAGCAATCCATTGATCACATCAGGCGTGATTGCACCTCCATGCATTCTGCCGAGAGCTTCAGCTACATTCTGCCTAACAGAGTACTCCTTATCGCGAAGTGCGGTCAGCAGAGCCTTTATGAAGTCATGCAGGACAGGGTTGATGTCTAAGTCAGTAATTATTATGCTGGTTCTTACTCTCACACGATCGTCTTCAGTTCGGAGCAAGCGAATCAGTGTGTCTATTATTATATTTTCACATAGGATTGTTGGCTGCCCTTGGCGATGAACATTAGTTTATCAGTCGTCGTGCAGCTCAAGCTCTGAGCA